CATTCCTGAGGAACAAAACTCGCTCCCCAAAAATTCCAAAATATTTTCCCAACTAGGCCACCCCAGGCACAGAAACATAAGGATTTCGCTCTGAAGTTGAACAGGAAATGAATTCACATTTTCCTTTTTTTTTAATTGATATTCCAATCAGCGTTGTTAGGGTTGGGGTTTTTTTTTAAAGTTAACATCAAGAATTTGGTTGTAAAGAGAGAACTAAGAACGAGGAGTTAAAATATAGTGCAAAAATCCGAAGCCACCAGTTTTTAAGGATGCTGGCACCTTAAACCAGCCTGAGTTTGGTCCACAGGCTGGCTGTGCTGCTCCACTTCGGACCCAGCTTGAACTTAACCTGGAGCAGGACTGGTTTCCCACCTTGGCACAGGAACTCCTCCCCCAGTTTCCCTCTTTTCCTGTGCTTTCCCTGCCCTGGTGCCTTCGGATGCAACATCTCAGTTCTTGCTGATACCTCCTTATCTCAAAAAGCGAGCTAAAAGGCTGCTAATACCACACACTGCAGTGCTCAATAGCTGGGAAATGCTGGAACTAAAGGTCCCTCTGCAACTTTAATCTGGCCCTTGCCTGTCTTTACCGTGATGGGGTTGTTAATTACTTGCTCACAGACAAGTTTTTTTTTCTCTTTTTTTCCCAGAGAAACCCAGGCTCATAAGTGCATGGAATGACTGGGCATGGAAATAAAGCAGGATTTTTGTGTTGTTGCTGTCTGCAGCTGGGGAATACACCAAACATTATGGGATCACAGGATGATTTGGGTTGGAAGGGAGGCTAAAGCTCATCCCATTCTACCCCCTACCACGGGCAGGGACACCTTCCACTAGACCAGGTTACTCCAAGACCTGTCCACCCTGGCCTTAGACACTTCCAGGGATGGGGCAGCCCCAGCTGGAATCATTAAGGTTGGAAAAGACCTTTAAGATCACCAATCCAACCACCAACCAGCACCATCTCCACGTTCACCACTACATCATGTCCTCGAGTGCCACATCCACAAGCTCTTTGAACACTTCCAGGGATGGTGGCTCCACCACTGCCCTGGGCAGCCTCTTCCAAGGCTTTACAACCCTTTCCATGAAGAAATTTTCCCTAATATCCAAACTGAACCTCCTCTCATCCTGTCCCTTGTCCCCTGGGAGCAGAGCCCGACCCCCCCCTCTGCCCCCTCCTCCTGTCAGGTATTTGTAGAGAGCAATAAGGTCTCCCTTGAGTCTCCTTTTCTCCAGGCTGAACAACCCCAGAACACATTTTAGTACACAGCAAACGACAAAAGTCATATAAATATATCTATATATGACTGTATTAGCATTTTCCTACTTTTCAGCCCTCAACTTCAAAACCTTTTGCATTCTTTTACCCTCTTTCACAGGCCATTTCCAACCAACCAACAAGTCGAGGCATAAAAACCTTCAGCCTGCAGGACCACACCGCCTCCCTTCACTTCATCAGCAAAACTGGGACCTCCAGACTTGTTCTGCCACCCCCTGTGCCCGAGCCCACCACGTACTTTGTGACAGCGAACAGCTTTTTGTACCTCCCCCATCGCTACGGGCACGGAAAACGCGTGATTTGCACAAATATTCAGTGCAGAGAGAAAGAAAAAAAAAATCACACTCAGTTCAGTGGGTTTTGTGCTGTCCCTGAAGCAGCAAGAGGTGACCTGAGAGCAGGGAGAGGGGGTGGTGTCCCTTCCTCACCCCCTCGGAGGTACCGGGGACTCGCAGGATCTGCTCCGTATGGGTGTGGAACTGCCACACTCTGGTGGTGTGGAGCTGCCAGGAGACGGCTCAGCCTCGGTGCAGATGGACTCAGCAAGTGCAAACAGATTTTTAACATGCAGATAAACTGGGGCACGGGAGGATTTTTTGACAAGAACAACAGAAAAAAAAAAAAATCCCACAACCCGTCAAAGTAACAAACTACCTGCTCTGGAGCCTGGAGGAACTGGAGCTGCTCAGGAAAATTAGGATAATTTTGAAGACTGTGAAAGAACACGTTTTGCCACAATTTCTTAAAGTAAAAGAAAAAAAAATGAAAAAAAAAAAAAGAAGAAAAAATCTGACTCATTTTAGCAAAAGCTTCTAAAAAAAATTGCTTAACTTAACTCACAGCTGGCACAGAAAATATACCCTCCAACATTTGAAGTGTGCCAAAACTCCAGGCAGATTCAAGCAGGGAGTTAAAACACGGAGCCTGTCACCGCTGCAGAGGAGATGCTTCAGCAGCAGAGAGATAAGAGCAGCTGTAAATTCATGAAGGTGGGTTGTTCTCAGCCCTGGTGACTGCAGGGTATCTTTGGTCAACCAATTTTCACAGGACTGTGAACACCTGGATCCTCCTCACTCAGGGCTGGAAATCACCCTGCTGAGGGTTATCCTGGTGATGGAGAAGGTTGATTAAGGTGCCCAAGGAAGCAAAGCCCTCAGGCAGGAGGTGAATCGGCTCAGAGAACAAGGAGCCTGGGAAAGCAAAGCCTCTGTGCCACAACCCTGGAGTGAGAGGCAGGGTTAGACCTCCTGTAACAGTGTGGGGAGGGAGAAAAGGTTAAAAAAAGCATAGAGTCCAGGAATAGTCTGGCTTGCAAGGGACATTAAAGCCCCATCCACTATCCCAGGTTGCTCCAAGCCCCATCCAGCCTTGCCTTGGACACTTCCAGGGATGGGGCAGCCACAGCTTCTCTGGGCAACCTGTGTCAGGGCCTCCCCACCCTCACAGGGAAGGATTTTTTTTCACAATATCCCATCTAACCCTGCCCTCTGGCAGTGGGAAGCCATTCCCTATGCCCTGTTCCTCCATGCCTTGTCCCAAGTCCCTCTCCAGCTCTCCTGGAGCCCCTTTAAGTGCTGGAAGGGGCCTCTCAGGTCTCACTGGAGCCTTCTCTTCTCCACGTGAATCCCCCAGCTCTCCCAGCCTGGCTCCAGAGCAGAGGGGCTCCAGCCCTTGGAACATCTCTGTGGCCTCCTCTGGTCTCAATCCAGCAGCTCCACATCCTTTTGCTGTTGTTCCCCAGGGCTGGAGGCAGCTCTGCCGGTGGGGTCTGACCCGAGGGGGCAGAGGGGCAGAATCTCCCCCTATCCTGCTGCCCAAGCTGGGGATGAGCCCAGGGCACATGGGGGGTTCTGGGCTGGGGCATCTCCAGCCTCTCACACACCAACACCTCCAATCCCTGCTCCATCCAGCCTGGGGTTGTGTTTGGGATTGCCCTGGTCCAGGTGTAGCACCTTGCACTTGCCTTGTTGAGCTTCCCGAGGTTTGAGAGATCCCAGTCATGCTGGAGGGAAGGATGAAGATCCTGGAGGACCATCTCATACCTGAGCAAACTCCATCTCCTCTTTGGTTTATCTTCATCAGGTTTGTGGAGGATTCACAGATCTTTCAGAATTGACATGCGAGTCATTAATTTTTCTGTGGGAAGAGCAAACATCACTTTACTTGAGCCCAATTATCACTGGAATCTGCTGCCTTAACCAGGATTTCAGGAAATCAAGCCCCAGGAAATAATGAACTTAGCTCCAAACTCGGGAGATTTTAACAGAACTAAGCGGAAGAGTCTCTTATTTTGGCTTCTGGTTTATAAAACCCAAGGTAACTTGAAACCAGTGAACAAGCAACTCACTTTTCCTTTTTTTTTTTTTTTTTTTTTTTTTCCAAGGAAAACAGGAATTCCCAGCCCCCTGCTGGAGCTCAGCAAAGAGGGTTTTAAATAGCTGGTGTGGGTGGGAGCAACGTCACCAAACCTGAACCCTGAACCTGGACACATTGCAAACCAGTTCTCAGGGCATGTGCACTTCCCCAGACCCTTCCAGGCCCCCCAAAATCGCTCCAATTAACCCCGATATCATTTATGACACACGTTGGAGTCACAGGAGCATCTTGAGGAGCTGAGCAACCCCAAAACATTCCAAAAGCAGCAAGAAGTACCCAAATGCTCAGCCCTGACAAGAAGTCAATTAGCAATAAGTACATTTTTTGTGTCTTTTAGCACAACATGAAAGTTTCATGTCAGTTTTTATCCTCCAGATGTGTCCCTAATGTTGTCGTCGATAGCAGCCCTTGGTATTATATCATTTTAATAGAAAAAAAAATACCCAGCTCCTATTTTGAACTTTTTAATCTTTCCCTGTGTGCCAGAAAGTAGAATAACCAAAGCTTATCTATTTATGCCTGTGCCTAAATCTTCAATGCATATATAAATTTAAATCTCATTACACTCTAACACACTGCTTTAAAAACACGGAGACATTTTAAGAGTCTGCTACACATTTTTATCAAATAGAGGGACTTAATTTTTATTTTTCTTCCCCATAAAGCCAGTGAAATCCTGCATGTTAATACTTCAAGAAAATAAACTTGTGTAAAGATTTGCCTATCCAAAGTACAGTATAATTTAAATTTAAATCCCTCAGAAACCCAAAGCACTGTGTTTATAATATGAGAACAGCGGGCAGTCATGCCCTTGACTGGAGGGCATGTCATCCAGTCCTCTCCTTCTCTGCAAAACCATCAGCCTGGCAGTAGTGACAGATGAACAGCTTACCATTAATTTCTCCTCTTTCATGCCTTCAATCCAAATGGTGCATATTCTCCACAGGGAGGCATCAAGGTCTTTGCCTTTATTTCTCTTGCATACTCGCACTGACTTATAAATCAAGTGCAGATAAGAAGAGAGGGCAAATATCAATCTTTTTTTTTTTTTTCTTTTTTTTTTTTTTTCTCCTGGCCAGTGCCCACTGGCACAAAACTGAGCTTTGACTGAAAGGTTCTTCAAACCTTTCTGTGATTCGCAGGCAAGGGAGGGCTCCACGAGGACAAAACAACAAAGGAAATTTGAGACAGAGGATTTGTATACCTTGGCTTCGAAATCAGAAGCCTCCTCTCCACGATGTTTAAATATGGGTTGGGGAAAAAAAAAAAAAGGAATAATAATTAAAAAAAAAAAAAGAAAAAAAAAAGAAAAAAAAAGTGAGTCTAAGTTGCTATTACTTTATCAGAATAAATCTTTGTGGAATATAAACCAGGCAGTCACTGGAGCAGCTCTAATCAGCATCTTGTGTTTTCCCCAACCAGGCTGAATTTTGGAGGTGGTGGTGGGGGTGTCTGTCCTCTTTGCCACTGAAGCAATTCGATCCTTCAAAACACGTTGGCTTCTGCTGTTACTTTGTGGCATTAACGATTAGGGTTTGTCTGGCTGAAAACAAAACCATAAGAAATCTTATTTTAATTTAAAATACAAAGGGCCAGAGCTCCATCCCATGCAAACCAGCAGAGCTCCACGGGCTCCTGTGCAGCTCTGCTGACTGACAGTCACTAGAAAACTGTCCCACAATGGTTTTTAAGTACGGTGGGGAGAAGTTCAGTGCTTTATTAACTATATTTTCTTTGAAGCTGCTACTGCATCTTTTGAAGTTCAAAGGAAAAATATTTTTTAAACTAAGTTTCACAACTCATGTTAGTTTCTGTGATTTTGGGGGTTTGTTAGAGACTTAGATACTAATTCTATAACCAACCCTCCAGTGTAATGAGGACATATGGGTCTTCCTACTCTGGCTCTCTTATTTTCTTTTGGTGCATTACCAGAAGGATTTGCAATTCAGTTGCAACAAATTGATCTTGCATTTAAAACATATATTAAATCACTGATGTGAGTGATGCAACTTTATTACGTGTCAGTTAAAAAAATCTATATTATGATAGTTGTTGACAAATGATAATATTATTTTCCAGCTAAGCACGAGGTGTTAATGCTGCTAAATGGCTGCAAATGTTGACGTTAAAGGCTGCCTGCTGGCCATTTCCAGGTGACATATCTGGGGATTTGGGGCTATTTCATTTTCCAGCCTTTTTTAAGGCTTCAGGCCGCATCCATAAATTACAGCTGATGACAAAAGTGGAAGCTAACAGTGGCAAAATTAGGCCCACAGGCAAAATAATTATATATACAGCCTTTAGCAGTGAGGGAGAAAGCCATCAATCAGCCCCCAATTATTCACTAGTTAATCAGCTCTGCCCTTCCTTTATTGAAGGGTTACAGTGTAATTAAGTTGGCAGCATCCTTTTAATTCATCAAACATACAACACATGGCGGTGTTTGCTGCAATCAGGGGACAGCACCTTTGTGTGCCTGACCCCTGGCTCTGCTGCAGGAGAGGGGGAAACTTCAGAGGTAAGAGAGACTATTTGTGTGAGAGCAGAGAGGGTGGGCAGGGCTTTCCCACCATCCCACGTGCCTGCACCGACTCCAGAAAACTTGTATTAATCGGGTTATTCGCGTATCACCCAGGGCAGGTGGTTCTAGACCGCGGCATTTACGGATTTAACACCCTTCTCCCAGCAATCCCTCTCTGATAACAAGATCCAAACATCCCCCTGGGGCCCCTGGATTGATGGGGGACCATGACAGACAGAGCGGCCCCTTCCAGACCAACAAAGCAAACAGCCAGTGGATTCATCTCCCCTTGAAATATTTTTGTGGAAATCCCGTTTCAGGAAACAACAGAAGCAGCTCTTTGAAGGCAGAATGTAGTTTTGTATCCTCTCTCAAATTAATGACACTGGATATTCGTATTATACAGCAGATTAGTATTTTCAGTGGCTTTTTGCCAGTAAGGAAGTATTTGGATATTGATTTTTATCTCACCAGTAATGGAAATAACTCAAGATATTGCACTTCTCTATCCATGCTGAATTTTAACCTGTGGATGCCCTCAATGGCTCTGGCTTTGCTTTGGCTGTAAACCCCAGCACTGCCATTTACTGTGCACGTCATTTTCTTCCTGTATTTACCTGACCATAAATCTGTTTTCCTGCCACATCCACTTCCTGCTCACGGCATCCTTGGAGACGCTGAGTGTCCTGGGTGTCCTTCCTACCTTGCAGAATAGATTCAGAATTATTTATTCATAAACAAGCTCTGTGTTTCTAACCTGCTTGTAATAATGAAGTTTTATACAATCCTGGGCTCTGCTGCATGATGTGGGCAAACAAACCCAAACCCCTCGACATCTGAACGCACTGGGAATATCAATGTTCAGAAACACTGGATTTTGGACAAAAATCTTTACTGCTCTCAAAGTACAAGAGCACTGTCCTTTCTGGGCACTTTTTGATGGTTATTTTACCTCATTCAATCTGATTGAAGACACTGGGAAGTTTCTCACTGTAAATAAAAATGCCTTTCCCAAAGATACAAAAAATTGAATTTTCTATTTTCGTTGTTTGGGGGTGGTTTTCTTTGGAGGAGAAGCGCACACAGAAGGATCACATGTCTATCCCCAAATCTCCAGGACACCAAGAGCACAGTCTGGGTCAGATCTGCCCAATAATCATCAGTACCACCAAAGACTGACAATGATGCAACAGGAGTGTTAATTATAATTTGTGTTATTCTCCCTTCAAGCAGTTTTGCCCCACCAGACAACCCAATAATTTCACAGTGTTCCACGTTCTCTGGAATTCAGAGCTCAGACCAAGAGAGGAAGGACAGAAGGCCAGGAACTATCACCATCTTGTGATCAACACGTGTTACCCCAACAGCTCAGCGAACCTGATGTTCTAAAGTCACTTTGGCTATTTGGGCCACTAAATATCTGTACGGACAACATGCCATTGTCTTAGTTCAGGAATCAGCTTGGTTTGCCAGATCCTTTGGAAGGAGAACTCTCCCCGAGAGCCACTTGCAGAGATTTTGGGTGCCCATCACCTCTGCCATGGTCCACTCTCCTGGCAGGACACTGAACTGAGCCACCCACGACCAACACGAGCCACCAAAGAATCTGCCCCAGCAAAGAAATTCCCACCAACTGACAGCTACATTCTTGCTAATAAACCACTAGACATGACAATTTATCTGTCTCCTGGTTGTACTCAAACATCTTTTCTACTATTTGGGGATTTTTTAAAAAATTTTTTTTTTCATTTTTTCTTTCATGACAGAAACTTGGGCTGCCCAATTTCGATGCTGCATCATCTCAGTATCAGTGAGTATCATCTTCTCCTGGAGTCAACGTGTGCCATATTGCAGTCAACCCCAGGCAGAACTCAGCACAATCACATCAGAACGTAGTTTTTTCACAATGAGATTGTATCTGTTTGTTATTGAGGGTCATTGAATCCCGTCTGTCAGGGTGACGTTATTGAATGGGTTCAAGTAATAGTTTGTGCTGATTATCAGCAAATATGTTTAAGAACTGTCACTCTGTTTATATCTTTCAGGGTTGCATTTGAATTATGCAGATAAGTGGGATCAAGAGGTGTAATGCAGCAAAGTATAATTCCTGATAGAAGCTGAAGAATAAAGTTTGTATCAAATTATCTATAAAAAAAAGGGACTTTGTACGTGCCGGTTCTGTTTAAACTCTAAAAGACTGAACAAACAAAAAGCACATTTAGATTTCTTGTTGTTAAGCCCTCAGTGTGTTCCCAGATGACAAACAACAACAATAAAAAAATCTTCAGAATTGTTGTGAAAAGTTGCACAGGAGCAAAAAATAATTTTTTTCACGTGCATTCATTTGAATTTTAAAACTATTAAAAAAACCCAATTATTCCATCAGGTCAAAAAAGTCAGGCAAAACACTTTTGGTGGACAAAATTAACGTTAAAAAAAGTGCCAACTGCAATTTTTAATTCGGCAATAAAACTTTTCCTAGTAGTGAGTAAGAATGTAAACCACATAATTTTGTTTTCCTAACTACCTCATTTTGCCATTTTAATACAAAATTTAAAATTCACTGTATTTTAGTTAATTAAATAAATTATCCATTGGGGGAAAAAAAAAGCAGACAATCCAGAGTGTCTGCTGGAGCTGAACAGTCTGTTGTGATTGTATATTTTATTTGATTTGAATAATATTTTGTTTTTATGTATTTTCTGTTGTAAATATTTTAGTTGTGTTCCTGTAAACGTTTTCAGGGGCAATTTTAAGGTAACAAGATAATGAATTATGTGGAAATATATATTATTATGACATAATATGATAAGATGTTACGTGGAAATTTATTCTCTAGGCCCTTTGATTTAGATATTATTCTGGGGTATAACCAGAAGCAGCGCTGGCACCGCCATTGGTTTTCCAATGAAGACACTGGACTTAGGTAAAACACCTAATTTTTCTATTGCTGGTGATATTGCTCTTGCTCAGCAGAATTTGGAAGAGTCCTCTCTAACTGCTACTTTTTAGTGATAATTGTTCCTGAGAACAAAACAAAGTCACGCATCGCATTGCTTAGGGAAATAAAAAATAAAATATGAAAGTTCAGTCATCTTCGGGGCTTAAATAATGAAAAATAGATCTTATTTAGGGTGCACAATCATAGCCCCTGTCTGGATATTCATATTTACTTATGCAGACACCAAATGAGTTTGACTGCAGTTACTTATAGTTCCCAAGATCACTTTGAAACTAAATACATTTTCTGTGGTAGAGATACTGAGGATAGAGTGGAATGAGAGGAAGAGATGCCTCGAAGCAGAAACACATTTCAGCTACCCATTAATAGCCTGGAAAAGAGATTATTTGGAACAGTTGTGAAGACAAAACAATTATCAATGTGGAGATTGAATATTTAGAAGAACCTCTGAACAGTCACGGAACGAGCACCAAAATTCATGCTTTTGTGTGAACAATAAAAAAATTACATTTCACCTGACTTTCCAAGCACACAACTTGAAATAATTGAGGTAAACTAAACTTCCTCATGGAGAAATAAAGAAGAGGAAAACCAGGCTGAGATGTGGAAGTGGATTCTGTGCTTTGATTGGCACACGAGGTGGAATGGGGTCCTCGTGGCACAAAGACCGTTCTACACAGCAGTTTTTCACCTGTTGATCCCACGACAAAAATATCACCTTTACGTGATCTATACCAAAAAAACCCCCAGAACCCAGGAAATGTATTTGCAATAGGATGAGAGCTAAAAAAAACCCTCTGTGGAATGGGCAAGTCCACGATCAACGTTACGCCACAGCAGCCAACCCATCCCGAGCTTCCACGATCCACAGCTGGGAACTACAGACACGAGCAGAACAAGAGCTGACCATGGAAGGAGGCAGAAAAACCTCTGCATTCTCTCTGCATAAACTCCAAGGGGAATATTGAGCTGAAAATCTACATTAGAAACATAAAATGGCTGTGTGGCTCTGGAGAGAGGATTTTTCTTGGCGTTCCCCCTGCAAGGCCACGTTTCAGCCTAATGCATTGGATTCATTTGTTTTGTGGAGTGGAGCTAATGGGATGAAGATAAAGTGACTTCCAGGCAGAAAACCTTGTTAATCAAAACCAATTTGGGCCACTTGTACACATTGTTCTGACTTTCTGAGTTGGAACATCCATTTTTCACAACAACCCCGTGTGCCTGCAATGAAAAAATCACCATGTGTTTCATTTTGGGGCGGCTACTCAGACTGTGCTAATGGTTTTATCTGTGGTATCACATATAGACAGGTTTTCCCTCCCTAAAACAAAAGCCCCTTATCTTTGGGAAAGACTTCTTTCTGTTTTAAAAGCTATTTCCAAGATGGAGCTATGAATGGATTCACTTCTTGATCTATTTGGCAGAAATTTGAGGAACCGTGGTTGCCTACTGGAAGCCAAGTTCACATCCTGGGAAGAGTAAAATTGAAAAAAATGACATAAAAATGTGTTTAAAGCAGAATGTGGGTGTTTGTAGTACTTTAATGAACAGTAGTTGGAGGGTTTTAGTATGTTATCTTAAGAGACAAGGTGCCACCACAGAGGAAGGCACCAGAATGAAGTGGCCAATAAGCATTTTGATCTCTTTGGAATTGGCATATTTTCCACAAATTATTTAGAATATGTGCCACAATAAAAGCCACTGAGGAGGAGAGACTGTTAACATTAAAAAACAAGGCAACAATCACTAATGAAGCATTAAAACATTGTTGAGAAGCAAATATAAATTTACCAGGGAGGTTTATTAGCAGTAGAAGCAAAAAGGTGTTGAAGGCAATGTCTTGCATTTGTGCGAAATGCATAAATTAATGAACTCTTCACAGAAGCCTTTTTTATTCTGATTAATAAGTCCTATTTCACCATTAAAACCCAAACAAAATCTCCACCCTGTTCCACACATCAGTGCCTTTATTTACCTTCTTTTCTCTTTGCCCTTGTTCTTGGCAAGCAGAGAGGCTGCTTTAAGCCAGGCCTGTGCTGATTTAACACCTTTAAGCCTGCCTGGGCCCTCTTTCCTTTGCAAATTCAGACAAACCAATTGTCAGATTGTCCATGTTCAACTCAGACACGAGGGAAGCTCTTTAGTCCAGGGTTTTAGATCTCCATCTATTTGTAGTTCCTCAGTAGTGGGTTAAAATCTCTGAGCAAAACCAAAAATCTGCTTGAAGAGGGAGCAGATTAAGTCAACAGAAAGTTTTGCACAGTTTCAAATGAATTATTAAATCACCTTCTGCAGTCCACAGCAAGAAACCCAAAACTGCCCTGGGGATTTCAAACTCCAGTGAGCTTGGGCAGTGCTCTGCATCCCTAACAAGTCTCGTAGTCAGACCAAGAGGCTTCTTTGTGGACCTTTCTTTTCCATGCACCATTCTAGTAAACACATCCCTTTTTATCCCACTTGCTTTTGTTTGCATGGTCCATGTATTTCTTTATCTGTGTTTTCAAATGCTGTTAAACTCCCCTCAGAATTTCTGAAGAAAGTCTGGAACTCAGTAACTCGGTATTCCCAAGACAACCTGCAATAACAACCAGCTCAGGACTGCAAAGGATACCCAGCCAGGAAAGGGATTTCATTTCTAGTGGGCAATTGCAAACAACAAGGGAAATATTATTTTTTTAAATTAAGATAAATACCTTAATGGTGTACTATTAAAATAATGTGCCCAGCTTACAGAGACCTGAAAAAAGAGGCTCCTATCAAGTTTTCCCTCTTTAGGGAAACACTCTTGTTACCAGCACAGGAACATTAATCACACACAGCCCTGGTGGAGTCACTCTTGAAAAACAGGCCCTTTGTCCCCATCTACCTGGAAGCTCCTCTTCCTCACAGCCACCAACTTCCAGCTCTGCCACCTCCCAGTTCCTTCCCAGTGCATTGTGGGGATGCAAGGAATGGGATGCAGCTTTTCCTTCTCTCCTGACTGCAGTAATTTAGTGCTGTGTCATCTCCAAACCACTGTGCTCATCTGTACCTGCTGTGAATGGGCTGCTCCTCTACCCCCCTCTGCCAGCCCAGAATGGGGCAAGAACTTCTCAAAGCAAGAACTACAAGGCCAGTAATGGGACAGGGTTAGACCAGAGAGAGGAAAAAACCCAAGAGAGAAGAACCAAGAACTGAATTTTTTGTGAGGAGCTGTCACTGCACTTCCACTTCAGGCACGGAGAGGTGGAAAAAGCCGGTGCTGTGGGTTATGTGAAATCATGTTGAGCACTCACCAAGAACAGACCCAGGTTTGTGGGTCAACATCTTGGGGCAAAAATGCCGTGGTAGAGCCTGTCACACACCTGCACAGCCCTCATTTAGCAGGTGGGCCTCAGGATATCAAAGCATATAAATAACCAGCACTGAAAGCAGCAGTCCTGTCCCTCTGCTCTGCAGGTCACGTTCCTTCTGTACCCTAAGTGAGGCAATGAGAAAATAATGACATGCAATGTAGTTAAAAGTGAATGCCTTCATCCTTTTGTTGTTTATCAGTTAACAAAATGACATTATAGAGATGCTTTATGTATTTATTGAAAGGGTAGAAACATCTATCAAAGCTCATTTCAGCTATTGTTAATGCCACCAGACTTGTTCTCTTCTGCCATGAGCTGGAACAGGACTGTCAGCGAGAGATGACTGATATAGGCAAATGATTTTGCATCATTTGAGATACATCCAGAAATATAATCATACCCAAGGTCAAACATTAGAGAAAGGTTGGGCATTTGGGGCAATGAAAGCAATGCTGTCAGATATTGAAATCTCAGCAGGAGATTCAGCTCCATTAAAACTGAATACACAATTACTTTCAGCTTGCTACTTCCCATGCATGTATAACTAGTTTGTTCAGCCTGGTGCCCCCTGTGTTAGCCAGGAAAGGTAGGATTTGAATATTTTGAGGAATGGGGACGATGCTCCTTTCACAGGAGTGATAAAATGACTATATAATATACATGCAACTGGTGCATCACTTCAACAATTAATCTGCCTTGAAGAGCAGACCTACGAGATACAAGAGACTGGCTCTGCCCAGGTTTCTTGGAATTCTCTGCAAGTATTTGGGTGACTTTACCTGAGTGGTCTTCCAGAAGATGCTCCAGGAAAAGAGAGTGTGCCTGCCAAGCAGTGCCATTGGAGGAGCAGGAGGAAAAAAACAGAACCAAAGGAAAGAAATGAGGAGAGAAACTAATGCAGATGATTTGGAAAACTAATTGGAAGTGGATATTAAAAATGGCAAAGGAGAAGGTTGATGGGAAGGGCTTCCCTCAGGATGGGGATTGCACAGGAAGAACAGAGAGAAACCGCTGAACTAACTGGTGTGCTGAAATTTGGCTGTTTTTCGGAGCTTCACTACTTATCCCTAAATTATACAGGTGTGAGGGAAACTCCACGTGCACTTGGCTACTTGTGCTACTCTCTGCCTGTTAATGTGTCCCTGATGAGACAATTCCAATCTCAGAGATGTCCCACCAGCTTCAAACAACAAATATTTATTTAAAAAATCATTCTCTTAAGGGATGTTCCCTCCAAACCCGGCTTTTTCTCCAAGGAAGCATCAGCTCAGCTTATCATTCAGGCATTTCAGGCTCTTAGATCAGTATTTTGTGATCTCAGGATCAAGCTAAAGAGATAAATCTTCTGATCTTGTCTGAGAAACTAAATAATTCTTGCAATATTGGGAAGATTTCTCGAATTTTTATGTGCTATTTTTATTTCTGAGATGTTAGTACTGGGCCTCCAAAAGTATCTTAAGTTCCAAATTTTCCAGAAAAACCAACCCCCCAGTAATTTTCAACTTAACATTTCCACATTACCCGCAAGAAATTGCAGGTAAGATTGAATTATATGGTTATAAAGCTTCTTGTATTGATGGTAGCCACCAAAAATCTTCAGTTTATCTTCTCTGTGTACTTCATACAATCGCTTCCTGACCCATTTAGAGTTACAGCACCCATGGAATATATAATGCCAGGAAAATAGAAATAATTGCATTTACTGTGTGACTTTGACACATTACCATGCAGAGCTTAGGCAAATTAATTCCTGATGTTACACCCCAATTTTACTAATTCACACAGAATTTTTCAAGAAGTAAACATTATTAATAAATAATATGGATGAATATTAAATAGTTTTGTTATTTATTGATGTTACAATCAATAACAACTATCCATATCGTGCCCCTAAACTATTCCAGTGTGAGGAGTGGTAAGATACTTGTTTACATTCAAAGCAAAAGCCAAAGAATTGTTTGGAACATCATTTCCCATTCGCTGATAATGCATTTTTTCTCCACTCCAAAGACTGAGTGAGGCACTGACTGAACACAAAAACATCAAAAATTTGGGGTGAATGGGAAACACTATTTCTATTTTACAAATTTCTACCCATGATGACTTTTACTCCCTCTCAGCTACCCGGACCCACAGACCCACTGCAGCCAGATGCACCCCTGGCAGACAGGGAATGTGCCACTGATCCATTCCCTCCTAAATTCCTCAACCCCTTCACGTGCAGTTCTTCCACTCAGATGTATTTAAACTTAAGAAACAACATAAAAATAGGTTTAAGGCTTATTTTGAAGTGAACCACGTTCCTCTTGTGTCGTTTTCCTCTGCAAATAAATGATCCTCCCCAGCCAACATATCCCACTTCATATCCTGGCAGCAAAAGATACACCAATTATAGGAACATGTTATGAAGAACCTACACATGCCCAAGCACCTGGTTTTCTAATGCAGTTGGT